GTTTCCACCTTTTGACTGCTATGAATAGTGTCCTGTGAACATTTATAAAGGCCACGATTTTGGTGAGTTGGGTAACAACCTGATAAAGCAGTTTTTCTAATTTATAAGAACTTTTAAAAAAATGAATATCTTGCTGGGCATGATGGCACATGCCTGTAATCCCAGTGGCTCAGGAGGCTGAGGCAGGAGGATTATGAGTTCAAAGCCAGCCTCAGCAATGATGAGGGGCTAAGTAATTCAGTGAGACCCTGTATCTAAATGAAATACAGAAAGGGCTGGGGATGTGACTCAGCAACTGAGTGCCACTGAGTTCAATACCCAGTAACAAAAAAAGAAAAAAAAAAATCTCAAAAAGTGAATACCTCATGGCATGAAAGCAATAACTGTTGAGTATTTAATAAAATCAACTTTATTGATTTCCAGAAATATTTGGGTTAAAAACAAAATAAGTACCCATAGAGAGAAGAAAATAAACATTTGTTGAACACCTACACATCAGGCCCAAGAGATGGTTGCAGATGCTGTTCTGTCCGTAACCCTGGGCCACCTGAAGTCACCTGCAGATAGTACCCTTAGGAAAGTGGCTTCCTGTATTTATGCCTTAGGACATTCCCCGGATGAGGAGACTTTGCCTGCACAAGGGGAGTTTACAAATGCTACAGAGTTGCTAATACCTCAGGCTCAACTCTCAATCTGAGGTGCTCCCCACCCTGGGCTTAGCACCCCTAGTGTGTGCTTCATGCAATCTCTAAGCCCACTGGTTGGTGACACAGTCTCTATGGCCTTCCTCCCTCCCTGCCTCCTCCCTGCTCCCTCACCTAGGATGGATTTCTGACCTGCTTCTGTGTGTGTGTGTGTGTGTGTGTAATACTGAGGATTGATCCCAGGGCCTTGTACACGCTAGTCAAGTGTTTTCCACTGAGCTACATCCCCAGATCCCTTGATGTGTTTTTTTTTTTTTTCAGCCTCTAGCAATTACTTGAATTCTGTGTCTTGGGGACCTCACTTTATAATATGAACATAGTCACAGTTCCTGCCATACGAGAACAAAAGGAACTAACGTGTGCCAAGTGCTTAGAACAATGCCTGGCTCATAGAATGTGCTTGAAAATGTCAATCATCATTACACAAATAGAATGAGGGGGGGCTGTGGGAAATTAGGTACTTGGTTTCAGCTTCCTCCTCTGTGACATGAGGACTCAAATGCACCCTTTTTTTCTTTTTTGGTACCGGGGATTGAACCCAGGTGTGCTCTACCACATCCTCTTTATTTATTTATTTATTTATAGTTTGAGACAGGGTCTGGCTAAGTGGCTGAGGCTGGCCTTGAACTTTCGATCCTCTTACCTCAGCCTCTGAAGTAGCTGGCCACCACCCTCTGCGCCACCACACCTGGCTTAAAAGGTCCATTTTAGGAGATGACCATGAGGAGTAAATTGAGGACAGAACTTGGGTCAAGTACAAAGCACAGGGCCTATCGTGGTGAGGACCTGCGCTGGGCCTGCTGCTGGCTCCCTTCTCATTGAGCAGCCGTACTATCGGGAGAGAGTGACGAAGCCAGGGCCAGGAATTGGGTACAACAGAGACAACTTCAGACTGCCAGGCCCCTTCTTCCCGCATCTCTGGAGAACAGTGTGCTTCAGGTAGATGACGTCCCTTGGGCCTTGGTTTCAACATCCCTAGAAGCCCTGGCTTGAGTTAGGGGGTTGCTAAATGTCCTACTGGCTCTAAAGATCTAGGGACAATCTCTATCCTGGGAGGCACACGCACACACACACACACACACACACACTCACTATACACACATACATATCCCCGTGTGTGCACACTCCACACACACTGCAGAGAGAAAGCATCTGAGTCTGCCTGGGGTGGTGAGTCACCTCTGGGATCCTCAGGCCTCAGGCTCCATGGGTCTTGAAAATCACCCCAGAGAAGAATAATGTGCCTGGAGAACATTTCCATGTGTGTGAATGCTGTTTTCTCCTTAGGCTCCTCCTCTCCCTTTGTCACTTTGAAAATGTCTGCAGCAGCCTTGCCAAGCCTTGGCAGCAGGCCAAGTCCTGACTGAGGGCAGGGTTGGGGGCCTGGGAGCACCAGACTCTCCAGATCAGCCAGTCCCATCCTTCTCCCCCGCTCCTTGTCCAGTGCCTGCAAGGACCCAGTCAACCCAGAGGAAGAAGCAGCCCCAAAGTCTCACAAAGGTTCCCAAATGTCACCCCACCCCTCTCAAGGAAGCCAAAGCTGGGAGCTAATGGCAGACAGATGGGCCTGGGTGAGGCATGGTGGTGGGCAGGGAATGAGGGGACTGAGTGACAGGAGTGCAGCCTTCCTCTGGCTCTCAGTGCCAGACTCCCTGGTGGACGTTGGGGAGGGCCTAGGAGTAGGACTTCCTTGATTTTCTCTAGCTGGGTTGCACTTGATACTCTGAGCACCTTTTCCATCAGTCTGGTGGAGGAAGATATATCACTTCCAGGGTTTATGTCCTGGGCCTGAGGTCTCAGTGCAAAGCTGTGTGGCCAGAGGATGGCCATTTGTTCTCAGAAAGCTTTCAAGTCCCTTCTGAGGCTGCCCATCCCAGCCACCTTCGGGACAGCCACAGCCCAGGCCCAGATCTATCCAAAACCATTTGCCCCAGGCTCCTGCTACCCCCCTGAGAGCTGCCGGGGCTCACATGTCTTTGCCCTCCTGCCTCTGTGGCCTGGACCCAGCTGCTTCTGGTGGGGTCTCCTTTCCTCACTGCTTCTGGCCAGTGGGCCTTGAATACACGAAAGCCGCCTCCCGGCCACCACCCTCAGCTGCATGCCTGTGGGAAAGGGGCTGGGACGACACAGGAGAGGAGTGGTCATTGACAAGTCTCATAGTAGCATCCAGCCACACACAACCATTGGATCTCAAAAATCCTCTGATGCCATCCCCACTGCATCTGATGCCATCCTCACTGCATTGATGGGGAGACTAAGGCTTCATAAGGTCACACAACTACTAAGAGTCCTTCTCACGTGTGCCCAAAAATCCTCTGTAAAATGGGTATGCACTAGGTCAGGGAACATCAAATCTTTTTTTTTTTTTTGGTACCAGGGATTGAACTCAGGGGCACTTGACCAGTGAGCCACATCCCCAGCTCTATCTGTATTTTATTTAGAGACAGGGTCTCACTGAGTTGTTTAGCACCTTGCTGTTGCTGAGGCTGGCTTTGAACTTGCAGTTCCTCTTATCTCAGACTCCTAAGCCGCTGGGATAACAAGCAAGAGCCACAGTGCTTTCTTTTTTAAAAGTTTTATCTATAGAACTCTTTATTTAAACAGAATCTTCACTGGGTGCAGTGGTGGGTGTCTGTAATTCCACTGACTTGGGAGGCTGAGGCAGGAGGATAAATAACTTGAGGTCAGCCTTAGCAACTTAGTGAGACCCTCAACAATTTAGTGAGACACTGTCTCAAAATATAAATAAATAAATAAATAAAAAGACTGGGGACTCAGCTCAGTGATAAAGCACCCCGGGTTCAACCCCCAGTAACAAAACAAAAAGCAACCAAAAATCCAATAACAACAAATTAAAGAACCCCAGAATCTTCCATGGAAACTCCAAAATGTGTTTGCGTTGTGGTTGAAGGCACCTGCGAGGGGAGCTCTGGGGCTTTCTTCTTACCCCACTCGATCCTGGCCCACCTGGAGCACCTCTGTGATGTCCCAGTTCCCAGGAGCACATTTGGAAACCTCTGGCTGATTGGCCAACCTATACACACAGATTGTGACACCCCTTGGTACCTCGCCCAGTGGATTTCCCTGGAAGACACCGGCTTCTTGGCACACGCCATTGAAACTTCTGGCTTGGTTCTTCCCTTGAGACTGCTGGGCCCTGTTTCTGGTGCCATCTCAGAGCAGCTCCGAAACTTCCTGCAAGGGTTTGGAGGCTGGCCCACCTCCTGCGGCCCAGTTCCTCCACCTCAGCCAACACAATCAGCCAGGGCTGCATGGGGCCAATTTCTTTAAATAAATGTTAATCCTACTCAGAGCTAGATTAAGGGGGGTTGGGGACTTTGGAAACAGTGCTACAGTTTGTCCCAAGACAAATCTTTCTTCTTTTTGGCAATCATCTCTTCATTGAGGCTGCTGCCATCTCCTTATATTTTGATTCATAACATTGATGAGTCAAACACCCAACAGGGCTGGAGTTGTGGCTCAGCGATAGAGCGCTCGCCTCGCACGCGTAAGACTCTGGGTTCCATGCTCAGCACCACATTAAAATAAATAAGTGAAATAAAGGTATTGTGTCCAACTATACCTAAAAAGTAAATATTAAAAAACCCAAAAAACAAAAGCCACCCAACAGAGAGGCATGCCTATAATCCCAGCAATTCGGGGAGGCTGAGGCAGGAGGATCACAAGTTCAAAGCCAGCCTCAGCAACTTTGCAAGGCCCTAAGCAACTTAGTGAGATTCTGTCTCAAAATAATCAATCAATAATAAATACATACATACATACATACATACATACATACATACATACATAAATAGGGCTGGAGATGTGGCTCAATGGTTAAAACCCCCTGGGTTCAATCCCCAGTATTAGAAAACAAAAAAACAGCTACCAGGGTTTGGGGACATGGCTCTGTGGTAGAGCTCTTGTCTAGCATGCATGAGGCCCTGGGTTTAATCCTCAGCACTGCAAACCAAACCAAACACAAAAACAAAACCAACATGAATGGGTCTTGGACTTCCATAGCAGGATGGTTTCACGCCATCCATTGACTTGCTGGATAGACTTTATTTAGGTGAGCACCTACTGAGTATTAGGTATGTGCTAAACACTGGGGACGCCAAGACAAGGAAGCTGTGACCTTCACAGTTCACAGTGCATGCCTCTGTGCTTTTCCATCCCTGGGGAAGTGCATGGACATTTTTTGGTAGCACTTGGTCATCCATTTCTCCCAGCAGTCTCTGGTTTCCTTCCCCATTATCTGCCTTCTGCAAGTGCAACCTTGGAGAGTCAGAGAAACTTGCTCTCTCATCATGGAATCCAAAAGGGTCTCTTTAAGTGCTCTGTGCCACCATTCTTCCTCTCCCTGCCCACTGAGACCAAAGCCTGGACTCCTTCCTGTTCTGGGCCAGGTGTTGTGAGTACATTTACCTGGAGGAGGAGAGACAAGCAAACAGTAAGTGCTTAAAGTGTGAGAAATACTGTGGAAGCTCATGAAACAATGGAGGAAGAAGTTCGCTTCACCTGGGGGGGGGGGGAGAGGAGGGGACATGCAAGGCCTATCACCTAAGCAGCCTGGGAAGCCACAGTGAAGGGGGCTACTGAGTGACCACGTGGAGCAGAGCTGCCTCTGTCTCTATGCACAGTGGTGCCTCCAAGGTGAGGCAGCTGCACTCTCTTGCCCTCTTTGTTTTTAAATATTTATTTTGCAGTTTTAGATGGACACAATATCTTTGTTTTATATTTATGTGGTGCTGAGGATCGAACCCAGTGCCTCATGCATGCTAGGCGAGCACTTTATCACTGAGCCACGACCCCAGCCCCTCTATTCCCCTCTTATATTTCTGTATGTGTTTTAATTTTTAAAATTTGTTTGTCCATTGCTATACTGGCTGTAGAACCCAAGGCCTTTGAGTGTGCTAGGCAAGTGCTCTGCCACTGAGCTATAGCCCTGAACCCCTTGTATCTCCACACCCGCCCCCCCCCCCCAGTACTGGGGATTGAACCCAACCCCTTTTAAAAAATATTGACACAGAATTTTGCTAAAGAGCCCAGGCTACCCTAGAAAATGTGATCTTCCTGCCTCAGTCTCCCAAGGAGTGGGATTGTGTACCACTGTATCCAGTAAAGGGCTTGTGTGTGTGGTGCTGGGATGGAATCCAGGGCCTCACACATGCTGGGCAAGTGCTCTACCAATGAACTACGTTCGTAGCCTGTATCTGGTTTTGATAATTATTTGCACTTTTCTGACTTTGTCAGACTTTAGTTATCACCATGCCTTCCCCACTTACCTCCTCTTCTAGGTTGAAATTTTCAATTTGCTGTAGGTTAGGAGGTCAGATCATCTTTTCTTACAGTAGCGAGTAAAGGAAAAGTAAATAGGTTCTAAGGGGGACTTGAGAAGATCTCTTGTGATCTGGTGCAGGAACTTGGGATATTGATAATTTCTTCCTTCCTTCTTTCCTTCTCTCCTTCCTTCTTTTTTTGATACTGGGGATTGAACCCAAGGGTGCTTAACCACTGAGCCACATGCCTAGCCCTTTTATTATATTTTATTTAGAGGCAGGGTGTCTCTGAGTTGCTTGCTAAATTTCTAAGGCTGGCCTTGAACTTGAGATCCTCCTGCTTCAGCCTCCAGAGATGCTAAGATTACATTCTTGCGCCACCATGCTGCCTGGCTATGGATAATATCTTCAAGGTTTTTTTAACTCTCTTCTTGATTTCCCCTATTTGCTTGACATTAGAGTTGCTGAAAAGTAACCTCAGAATAAGTGAGTTGGGACTGCTTTCTCTTTTGAGAAAAAAAAAAAAAACTTAATTTATCCCAATCAATGTAATTTTTCATATACTTTGTAGAAGAAATACTTCTATTTGATTATGAGGTGCCATTCTAAACTCCACTTTAAAAAAAAATTTTTTTTAGAGGGTTTTTTGTTTGTTTTGTTTTGTACTGGGGTTTGAATCCAGGGTCTTACATATGAGCATTCTACCGTTGAGCTACACCCCTAGCCCTTTTTAATTTTCTATTTTGAGATGGGGTTCCACTAAGTTGCCCAGGCTGACCTCAAACTTGAGATCCTCCTGCCTCAGCCTCCCTAGTAGCTGAGATTACAGACATGTGCCACTGTGCTCAGTGATGCCTTTACATGTAATATTTACATTTTTATATGAAAATTACCATCCAATGGAATTAATTCTTCTTTCATTTTGTGCAGTTAAAAAAATTTTAACACATGTATTGACTTGTGTGATCACCACCACAACCAGGGTACAGAACAACTCCTAAAACTCCTTGTTCTCTCCCTTTATAAACACAACCCCCACACCAGCCTCACCCCTGGCAATCATTGATCAGTTTTCCATCTGCTCTAGTTTTGTCTTTTCAAGAATAGATGGAATAATACAGCATATTATATTTTTAAGATTGGATCCATTCTGAAATTTGAAACAATATGACCCCTATGGCTTCAGAGACACTTTGGAGAGGAACTTGTCAACATCTAGTAAAAGCTAAGAATGTTGCAGGCATTGTGAGCTAGCAACCAGGTTCCTAGAAAGATCCCACTCGTTTGCTTAAGGGACAAGTTTAAGAATTTTTGGTGTGAGTGTGTGTGTGTTGGGGGGAGCGGGTGTACTGGGAATTGAACCCAGGGGCACTCTACCACTGGGCTACACTCCTAGCCCATTTTCAAATATATTTGAGATGGTTTCTCACTAAATTGACAGGCTGGCCTTGAACTTGCAGTTCCTCCTGCCTCAGCCTCCTGAACCACTGGACCGATAGACATGTGCTAAGGCACCAGGCAGGAGGTCTTTATATATTCAGGCTACTAACTCCTTGTCAGATAAATGCTTAACACCCACATTCTGTGGGTTGCCATTTCAGTGTTGATGATGTCCTTTGAAACACACCTTGGGAAAGATTCTAAAGGGCCAGTAGAAGTCAGCCAACCGGGGAGGCAGTGGGGTGAGGGGAAGGTGTTTCAGTCAAAGGAAAGTCCTGTACGTGGAGGGAGATTCAGCAAAAGTCAAGTAGATGCATCTGGCTAGCGAGCGAGTGGAGGGAGGAGGAAGTGAGGCGAGGCAGGCGAGGCCGGAGGAACCACATAACAAGACGCGCTGGACTTCATCTAGAGTGTCGCCTCCCCAAAGAGCTGTCAGGGGTTTCCTGCTTCAGCGTTACCTACCAGAAGTTGTTCAAATGCAAATTCATGCTGGGATTTACAGAATCCGCATCTCCGGGGCGGGACCCGAGGATCAGGTTTTAATAAACCAGCTGTGCTAAGGGCACTGGGGAGCCCCCGGGGGGTCTTGCAAAGGTTTTGGAAAAATCACCGATTGAACAAATGACCTGGGTGCCCCGAGCTTGCCTCCGCCCCAAGGCTCCTCCAGCCACCCTGTCCCCACCCGACCCAGCCGGAGTTCTGGCCTCCGCGGTTCCCTCGGTGCCCGCCCTGCGCCGGCCTCCTTCCCTCGGGGTGTGGGGGGGTCTCGGGTCCGAGGCGCGGAGGGCACCGGCAGCTGCAGCCAGGCCCACATTCCTCTCACTTCCCGCCATTGTCCCGGGTTCCTGTGGCCTCATCCCCACACTCGCTCCAGGCCGCCCCCCAGCCTCGTGGAGTGGTGACTCATTTCCTTTCTCTCTCTAGTGACATAATCCTGCCCCCAGCAGCGCCCGGACCGCGCGGCGACCCGCTCCCCCGCTGGCCCGCTCCGGGGCGGCGTGGCGCTTCTCGGCAGGCAGGGGGCGCCAGAGCCCGCGGCGCCACCCACCGGACCCAGCCCCGGAGCCGCCTCGGAACCGCTCTCGCGCTGGGAGCTGGGGACTCGGAGCGGCGCGCGGGCGCGGAGGGGGAAACTGAGGTCTGGGATGAGGGGATGTGCGTTGACCCTGGAGTGCGACCCCCGGCTTCCCAGCACACAGGGCTGGTCCTCCAGACCCGATGGCCTCCCTCTGCATTCCCGCCCAGGTTTCTGGGAATCTGGGAAACTGTCCAGCCTGGAAATTTCAGATATTTCCCAAGTCTTAGAGCCACCCGAGGAATGCGCTCCTTTAGGACACATGAAAGAGGGATGCAAAGGTCACACAGTGAACTGGACCTCAAGCCACCGGTGTCCTCACCTACCCCATGCTGCCCGATAATAAAAAACAAAGGATTTAACCCAGTGTCTGACGCTGGAGTTATTATTATTATTATTATTAATATTATTTAAATTGTAGTTGGACACAATACCTTTATTTATTCATTTTTTATGTGGTGCTGAGGATCGAACCCAGGGCCTCGCCAGCGCTCTACCACTGAGCCACAACCTCAGCCCCCCCAGCCCTGAGTTTTTATTATTGCTACACTAAATAATCAAACCTCTGGGTTTCCTCATTGTGATAGCATTACAGCTCAGAGCTGTTTGATGCTGGGTCCCCGATAAACTACATCCCACCAGAACTCAGGCTCCAAGAAGACAGGGATTCTGTCCATTGTTTGCCCTTCTCTGTGCACTACCTCATCTATAGCACCTAGACAGGGCCAGAGTCAAATAAATACTTGCTGAATGAATGAATGTTAGCTATTATTATTGTCGAGACTGATTTCACTCTAGGATTTCAGGCTTGAAGGACTGGGGGCAGGGGGAAGACTGCCTTAGAGATGCAGAATGCTGAGGTTCGAATATAGTTTGGTTGTGTCCTCCAGGGTTCCACGTGTTGAGATTTAATCTTCATTGAGAGGTTTTAAGAGGCTGAGGCTGGCCTCAAACTTTCTTTTTTTTTAAGATGGACACAATATCTTTATTAATTTAATTTATTTATGTTTTATGTGGTGCTAAGGATTGAAACCAGTACCTCACAAGTGTGAGGCAAGTGCTCTACAACTGAGCTATAATTGCAGCCCCAAACTTTTTTTTAATATATATATATATTTTAGTTGTAGTTGGACACAATACCTTTATTTGGTCCCAATAGTCAGCTTGACCTATTTATTTTTATGTGGTGCTGAAAATGGAACCCAGTGTCTGGCATGTGCTAGGTGAGTGCTCTGTTGCTGAGCCACAACCCCAGCCCCTCAAAATTTTAATTCTCTTGCCTCAGCCTCCCAAGTCCCATGCACCACCATACCCAGCTTGTGATGATATATTGTCCTTAAAGAAAAGGGGGACACTCCCTGAATGTCCCTGGATGCCCCTTTTCTGCTCCCCCCCAAATCTAGCCAAGTTAAGAGAACAATGAGAGCAAGTCTGGGCCAGAATGTCCAGACACACATTATCTTGAAGGACACTGGATTTCTCTTATGCACAATGGAACTAGGACAAATTAGATTCATCTGTAGAAAGCTACTTTCTTGCATGTATACCAGGGCAATTGCTCTTGGGATGCTGGTCACACAAGCTTATGTTGATGATGTCACTGCTTCTGCAGCCTAACAGATAAAACCCCTCTGTTAATGGAGACTGGCACAGAAC